TGTGGCTGGTGCCTTAGCCACTTGAGCCACAGGTGTTGAGCCTTTTTTTTTTTCCTTAACACTTACTGCAAACATTCAGTAAGTACTTACCTAATTATCTTATTCTTCCTTGTTTGTGGAGAGCTTTGATGGCTTTCACTGTTTTCGGCTCAAGCCTAGGCTTTCTTGGTTGTCTTCAGCCAATCTTCTGAGGTCACTTGCTGTTCCTTTCCGTATGGCCTGTGCTCTCAGATACAGCGACTTGTCTGACATTCGGAGAACCTCCTTGTTTGTTGATTCTGTTCCTTGTGCTAGGAAGATTCTCTCCTCTGTCTCATGAATTCTGATTTATTCTTCAAGGCTCATTTGAGGTGTTACCTTGCTTGTTAAGTCTCCGTAACCCACGTGCCCCTTCCTGTGCACGGTTCCCGCTCTCTGTGCACTTAGGTTTGTACAGGTGGCCTGGCCTCGTAGTGATTGATTTCTGCAGCTTCTCACCTCTAGAATGTACAGTTGCTAAAGATAAGGAATGCTCCTTTTTTTTTTCTTTTTATACTTCTGTTATTTCCATTAGCTGTTTTAAAACTTAGTACATTGTTGGGGTAATTATATTCTTTTCAGATTAATAACATTGTAGCCAAACATATGAAAATAGCTATTACTGAAAGATTTGTTTTCTGTAAGTGGAGTAGATTCTGTGCATAAATTTCTTTAAATAAAACAGTATTTGGAAATCATTCTTATCTTGCTCTAGATGGTACTTACATGATGTATGCAAAAGTAAAAACATCAAGTAATACATTGAAGATTGGTATGTTCTTGTACTTTATGCATGTTATGCCTTATTTTAAAATATTGCATAAAATAATAGCTTAATGATAAGTATGAGGAGGCTATTGCAAATATTTGTATTACAACATCGCATTTAGGAATATTGCTTTTTGTACTGATGGCTAATTCATACTGACTGAGGTTTGAGCTATCTCTGAAATGGATGCTGTTCCGTCTGTTGATTTTTCTGATTTGAAACCTTTATTTTCTCCTTCTGGCCTATAGAAATCCGTTTATATGTAGCTTGGCATTCAGAGCTGTCCAGAATCAGGTGTTATGCTACCAAACCTGTTGCTACTTGGCATTTTGAGAAAATGTTTACCACCTACTGTGTGCAGTGCCCTGTGCCGTTACTTAACATAAGAGATAGAAAAGTGGAGAAGAAGTGATCTCTGTTCAGAGAAGCAGGGATGTAAGTGGGACGTGTCAAAGGCTAAGGGTCAAGTGACTTGGGAGTTTGAAGATGGAATTCACTGATGGCTGAGCAGACAGTAAAGACTGGATAGAAGAACTGAGACTTAGTGTAGACCCGAAAGGAAGGGTAGAAGGAGTGGAAGGAGGAGAGATGAACTGGGCACAGGGGAGAATGAGAGCTGGAGCACCAGGGTGTGGCGGGCGGTGTGCTGAGCTGGTGTTGAGTGGTCTGGCCTGGGTGGAGCTGGGCTGAGTGGTGAGAGGGGGCTGAGAGGAGGAAGCTGGAGCACAGGTAGAGCCATCTTCAGGTGGGCTTTGGAGACCCTGCTGAAGAGGC